CAATTCGCTGTTGTTAGCGCCACCTTCGAGCGAGGTGTTCGTCTCAGCTTCATAGTTTGTTGTTAATCGGCTGTCACAGTTTTGCCAGTATTTTCGTAGTTTGAGCGAAAACGCTCGACATCGTTTAGTGTGGGCCTACCACGAATGGTGTGTGCGTTTGTATGTGAGAACAGCGTATAAGATAGGAATCTTTATCGTGCGACCTTCCCAAAACACAACATTTCGAAAATTGTGTCGTTTACAATCAGCGAGGACATGATAAGACAAGTTGTAGCACACTCATCTTCAGTTTCCGCGGTTTAAACAAGGAACGCCTGGGACCATGACCATAAAAAGGCATTATGTCCAGATTTGGATGTTATTTTCCCGGGGCTCGGAAACTATGGCTCCGGCTCGTCATAAAACGCTCGGGCTCGCAGGCTCGCATTATAGCAACCCCCATTCAAGTGCATTCCTCCCTGTTCATCTCCCGCTCGGAATATTGTCGCCCAACAACATTCCCGTCATTAGTCGACGCACATTCACTCATAAGAAATGATAACAGCTATCTCTAAGCTCTTTTTCTTTTCCAGGAAAGACCTCGAGCAAGGTAGATCATGTACTGATGTTTGCAAGGAAAAGCTGGCCGTCTGGATAAAAAGATTTCAGGAGCAATATAAGAATCACCAAACAAATCTGAAGGTGAATTCTGTTTTCACAGATACGTTAGTACACTCTTAACCAAGTAAGGTCAGAAAATGGTACGCTGTGATTAGTCAAATAAAAACAAATAAAGGCTGAGGTGGAACTCATTTAACTGCTGGCGCCCTAAGCATGCTGTGTGCGATATGGGGGTCTAAAGTTTATTAACAAGAATACCTAATATATAAAGATTAAATTTTAAGCGTAAGTGTAAAAAAATGGAAAAAAATAGAAAAAAAAAATAAAGGATAACAAAAACGAGGAATATGACGTGTCAGGTCCCCTTACCTTTATTCTGTACCCGCTTTGTCGCATAGAGTCATTTTAACGCTATTTTAGCGACTTTATTTGTAACGCGTGTTGGGCTACTATATATTTGATGTAAGTAACGCGTGCGACACTCATTAGCTATTTCGCTCTTTAGGTCGTAAAACCAAATGGTCATCTAAAGACCTCAACCTGATGGTCTGTTCCTTATCTAGGTTTGGTTTCAAGATCCATCAAGTTTTTTCCTGCGTATGATTAGATCCTGGAGCTTTTGACCAAATACTAGCAACTTGTCGATTCACCTTACTATTCTCTTTAATAAATATGCAGCATAGTATTTTTCAGTCTCACGTAAAGTCCAGCGGGTACTCTGGATAAGCTATTGATAGCTAATTGTTGTTGCCTTATAGTGTATATTTAGTAATTTCTAATGTCATTGACTTCAACTGGGGGCGTTCGGAAATTTTTTTTTTTGTTTGTTTGTTTGTTTGTATTTTTTTTTTTTTTTTAGAGTATGCGTGTGTCATTTACTGAATAACATCATCTTTGACCAAATGTCATTTTGCAGATTACACTGTGGACAGGCGATGGACTTACTTTGTGTACAAGTGGTTTTCCGCCAGAAGTGTTGTTCGACGTAATCGATACAAGTAATCTCAGCGATCACATTGGTTTGTTGAACGTTCTCGTCTGCTGTTCCCCGAGGTTAAAAGTGTAAGTGTTTTTTGTTTTAGTCCTCATTCTCATCGTTATCGTTGCCGCGACACCTGTTGATCTTGTTAAGGTCGTTGAGGTGAACTCCTTTCATTCCTGTTATCCAAGAGATCATAAGGTGACATTGAGGGGAAATCAGGGAGTTGGCCGTGATATCACGGCCAACCCCCTGACATATGTTGATAACAGTTTTAGGTTATTTTTAGCTTGGGGTGGAAAGCACTGTGGTTTCCTTGAGTAGTTTCTCCTTACTGTCAGTTTGATATTAAAAAACAAATCTCATCGCTCTTCTCCAATACCTCAACCTTACACACACGCGACCAAGATTCGCAGAGGGAAGACGAATGTTTTTCATTTTCAGTCATTTTCACTGAGCAAAAGCGGTATGCAAAACGAAAAGCGATGCGCGACATGTGCAATATACAATTATTTAACTTTCGTTTCGGATTTAGTGACTCTCGACTCGCAGCATAAGAAGGCGTTTTGTCACAATGGTTTTTACTTTGTGCAAGTTTGTATAAGGGAAAGCAGATTCCTAATGTCTGGTTAGTCTGAAAATTGTAATATCCTGTGCTCTATTTTTGTAATCGCCCCTGATTTCTGAACTTAATTCTAATTGTTAGTTATACATGTCAACAGACGCATATGGTGGTCTTCTAGAACTATCCATAAATAGCTTAAGTGAAATTAGCATATCTAAAGGCCTAGATCGAACCGAAGGCCTTCTTCTTTCCCCTTATGATCTTTTGATGTTTGTCTCATTAGATTATGCCCTTGACGACATAACATTAATACAAAAAAAAACAAAAACAAACAATTAAAACAAAAAAAGACAAAACAAAATCAAGCAAAACCAAAACGACTTCCTAGGATAAAAAAGTAAGCCTCTTTAAGTTAAACAGATTCGAAGTAAGCCCTTGACGGCAGACAATTAACCAGTTTATAATGCTGATACACAAGGGGTATCCAGAAATCTGAGTAATACCTGTTTTATATTCCAAATTACATTCAGGCCAAATGCTTCTCTGTTGTTCACATCAAGCATGTTATGGAGCGGTGAATGTGACAGTATAAAGGAGTACTATGACAGATGTGTTGGTGTTGCGTTGCAACTTCTCCCAACAGTTCTCGGCTTGAAGCTGGCTGATGATTTCGAATTGGGAAGCAAGTATGCTAGGCTATTGAAATAATCATTACATCAAGTTAGATGCAGTGTGCCGGATTAGTTGTGCAGTCTCGTATACCACAGTCATTGCTGGCCTGTTTAACTGAGGCAGCTTTTCCGCCACCTTTTGAAACAATTAAGGCTCAGCATATGGTCCTATATATAGGAATTCTTGTCAACAAGCGTTAAAGCCCAAATCCTGGTAAACAATTCCTCCTGATAAAACATTAAACCCTCCCAAATACTGCCAATGCAGTTTTCCGCAATTTGCTGTTTTCAATACCTAAACAAAAAAATTAGTGGTATGATTTTTTATCGCGCAGAGCATTCACAGAGATTTCATGGTAAGAGGCCCTCTGAGTCTGTCCATTCCGTCTGCCGGTTAATCATATCCGCGTTTACATCTTCAGTCAGTTGTCATGCAGCAGGGATTAAGGTCTTTGACTGAGGCTTCCTTTTGTTCATTTGTTATTCTTGTTGTTTTCTTTTGCTTTGTTTTGTTCGGTGTAGAAAACTTCCAGACAGATTGGGCTCTACAGAAGAGACTCTTTGCTGGGTTAAGGCAGACCCTAAAAGGACTTTATTGACGTTGGGTTAGTTATGGCGTACTGAAGACATATTTTCATTGAGGTCTTGTTATACTGAGCAAGTACCCCGTCTTTGCCTGGGAATAAAAAAAAAATCATTGAAACCACCAAAAACTACTGAAGGGTGGGGGGAACTTGTGATTGGATCGGAATCTTAATCAGGGGGAATGAAGATATTCTGAGTCGCTTAAGAAAAGAGCAGAGAAAAGTTCCAGCCTGTCAAGAAAGTGTATGTTACTGCGGCAAGTTAACCTCACCTTGTGACTCATGCAATTTTACAAATACTTTTTTGCAATTTCAGATAAAGGCACTGACGTTGTCCAAGCACTACTGCGTCTCACAGAGCGTTGCTTCAATCTATCGAAGGAGGTCATTCATTCCTTTGGCGTCACTTCGCCTTCGCCTCTGACCTTGCTTCGAATTATACATCAGGCACAACCACTCTTCAAGGGAGAAGGTCATATCAATTTTTAAGTTAGATGTTAGCCTGGAGCGTTTGCGTGTTCATGCCGTTCGAGCACTGAAAATACAGATCGGTCAGTCCTATTGTATCAAGGAAACCCTAAGAAACTACCACGAGTTCCAGTTCTTAAGCCAGTTCTTTTATACCTCCACGATGTTGGCATACGAAATGATAAAGCTCGCCTTGTAAGGAAAACCGCTTGCACTGCAGGAAAAGTCTGCGAATTTTTAGAGAACTAATCATTCCTTTATCACTTTCTGTATTTTTTAATCATCTTTATTATCACTGTTTTAATTGTAATCAACACCGCTTAAGTTTGTAATTTTCAGTTTGTAACAACCTTCCTCAGTTTATAGGCTGTTCCTAATATATTACAATTTGTGTTCACAACTTTTTAGCTCGTTGATACTGAATTTCCTCTTGAAAAAGAATACCCTCGTATTTTATCTACATTTGTCTTAACAATAGCGAATGGACAAAGTAAATCTGCACAATTTCGAATTGGGAAATTCAAGAGGAAGAAGAATGAATGTAATCTCTTAGTTTTATGATCATGAAATATTGACACTCAATTTGGGTTGCTTATTTGCGTTTTAGCCACCGAAATATTTGACGTTCTTGAAAATGAGTTACCAGCTGATTTTGAGAGGAGGTACGGACTATCCTGGAATCTGTTAAAGGCATCTTTAGGGAAAAAACCAGGTAAGACTTAGTGAACATTTGGTAACGAGATTGCCTAGCGGTAACATTTCCTCTGCTGCATCTATGCCGCAAGCTATGCGATCTACTCGTAATAGTCGGATCTAATCCAAAGAAGCACATATTTTTATATGATTCGATTCAAACTCAATTCATAATTTAGTCACTGATTTTTTAAGGTTCAGATCTAAACCAGGAGTTTTTGGTGAAACCAAACGATGTGGGTTGCTGGGGAAGCTAAGTTTCTAAGTTGTTTTCCAAATGGCGGCGTCCACAATCGAATTTTTGGCGCATATGAGTAAAATTTTTAAACGATTCGATTAGCATTTTAACCTGCGCCAACTCGTGAATTTTTACATAAATATGCTTTTTTATGAAGAAGATGACAATAAAATAGTTTCAGGAGTAAACCTCTCCCATTAAGAAATTAAAGCAGGTGAAATTCGAACTCACAACTTAGGAAGTAGACAAATTCTAGAGAACCTTTTAATCTCCATCAACGCATTATTTTATTCGTCTACAACTACAGAGCCCATCGTTGAAATAAAAGTTAGCATCAAGTTTGCCGTCGTGCCTTGGTTTAAGGGAACACCAAAGCCAATGATTTGCATCAGGAGGGAACGCAGCAGTCCCGAGGAGGCTCCCTTGCAGGTAAGAAAACAAAATCACTCTGTTAAACTTATAAATCTTATTACGCAAATAATAAATGATTAGATCATGAAAAGATTATACACAAAACTGCTTATTTATTGATTTTCTTTGTATTCATGTATGCATTTATCCATTTCGTATTTCTATTTAAGTGGTCGCTTGCTATGGGCCTAGCCACACCGCCTGATCCTTCAGTAATTTACAACAGCTTAAGATATGATGACAACACTGATGTGGTAACTTTCCATCTACGCGAAGAAGACTGGAATGAGCATGAAATTTCCTCCACGATGTGGATATCATCCATAGAATTAATACCTGCCGTCATCAATTGTGAACCAGTGAGGCTAGGAGAAGAGACTGTGCAGAGTGTTGAACGGATTGATCCTGTCGAAAAATTTGGTCTGTTTGCAAGACAGACTTTCACCGTGGTTGAGTCCAACGAGAAATGCCAACTACTAAAGGTAAAGGGTGTATTGTATGTTGTTAACTTTAAGTTATCATTGTTTTGACTTGATACACATGGGATGCTCATTTGCCCCACAGCCAAGCACAATGAGGTCCCAGACTTGGTGCATCTTTTTGAGGCCAGTTCTGTAATAATAGTGGAAGGATTTTGGACACAAGGACAAGAACTGGAATACAAAATGGCACTTTAGGTCCAATTTCGTTATCGTGGCGAAGAACAAAACAGTATAGTAAATAAGCACATGAATCATAAAATGACGCGTTAAACCAGTCGCAAATTTCGTCGACGTGCAATGAAAACTGGTATTATAAAGGTAGATAACAACTGAAACGTCTCGATATGCATTCGAAGTGATGACATCGCCAAGACCATGGACCCTGTAATCATATACGTTTCATCTAGTCATTGTTGCCGTTTTTCCCCTTTTTTGATAGGTAATGAAAGTGGCGGAGAGCATACACTCTTATTCTGCAGAGCTTGAGGTACTAGACTCCACCATGTGCAAAGCGAAGGCAATGAAGATCAGCCAGCCAGCTAAGTCTCCTACAGGAGTCCAAATAGACTTTGAGGGGGCCAGAGGGTGGGTAGCGCACTCTTGGGATGTGCAAAAACTTCAGCAGTGATCATTAAGCACCACTACGTGATGATTATAACGATGTTATGAGCCTCGCAAAATCTTCGCTGGAAAATTTAAGTTTTTGATTGATTAAAAAAGAGATACCATTGACTTTAAATTATTAATGGTTAAAAGAAAACTCCAAGTGATCTTCTCATTTGCAAGAGAAGTCACAAGCTGTCCACAGTTATCAAAATATTATTTTCATAATACTTTCAATTTCAATTATATTTGCCCAGGAAAAAATGTCCTGTGTCATCTCATCAGCATTTGAGGACTGTGCTCTTTTTGTTACAAGTTAATTTATCTCCTTTCTTTTTCTGACATCCTTACAGCGACCCACTCAGCATGCATTTTTCATGCTTTGTCAATATTGACTCATCCAAGTTCCAAATCTCACGCAAAGTCGGGAAAATATTCTGCAACATTTCCAAACGAAACGATGGAACAGTGGGAGAACTTGTAATACAAAACTTAGCTCCACTGCCTTTTCATGCAATGCCAGAGTGGGATAGTAGACTTACCGATATAAGGTATGTTTAAAATGGAATCAGCGAGGGATTTTTTATAAGAAAACAAAACTAAAGTATAACTATGGTACATTTAGTGATTCTGGATAGGTTTAAGGGAAAAAATCAATAAGTAGGATCTTTAATCAATAGACCGCACTTTCTCTCTGTTCACCGACGTCATAACCTATGAAAGACGTTGGGATAAAGCTCGAGAAGTTTGTAAATCACGAGCCGGATTAACCCTTTTGCTAACCACAGGACAGGTTTATATCTGTGATGGTACCTTTATTTAATACTAAAGAAACGGTAACTGTCAGCGATTTCCTCTTGTAACATTTCTTCCTAAGATATTTATACAATAATGTTCTAATATATTAACTTTTGTTTCTTATTGTTTTCGCTGTTCTAGAATGCTCTGCAGAATGTTTCGCACTAAACTTGATCTGGAACTGAAATCACGAAAAGAAAGTGGTCCGCCATTTTTTAACCTCAGGGAATCCATTACAAACATTATTCATCAACATGTGAAGGAGCCTGAGGTAAATCTGCAGGAAACACTTATTTTTTTACATGTTTTTTTAATGCATACATTTAAAAATCGAGGAGTGTTTCACGTCCTCCGTCGTCAGCATATTGGATAATCTCGCAGAGTAATCAACAATTTAGTACCGAAAGTAGTCGGAGATTGCATTTGTTTTCCTTAACTTCGCTCATGCTGTGATTTGAACAGAAAAAATCGGGCCACTCTCTCAACAAACCAGATGCAACTAAAACCAATCGCGACTTAATCGGTGGTTGCACTTTGGGCGGTTGACTTGGTTTTTGTTTAAGTTCTTTGTTCTTTGTGATAACGGTGGTTTTGGCATTACAACCTAGAATCGAAAAGCGCTCTATCTAGCTATAGTTAGGCGAGTGCTTTAAGCTTTCATCGATCTATGGCTATACTTTTGATACCTTGGAAGGGCGAAAGTCTGATAAGTTTGGAAGCTCTTTCTCCAGTCAGTAAGTAGCCAGGGATTTTGGAGTTTGGAATGAGATATTTTCCACCAAACGTGGTTTTAGGTCATGAAAAGATACTTGTCGCCGCCGGTTCCACTTGGGAATATTCTTTAATCTCTTTGTCATTTTGTTATGATTTTGTTGGTCACATGGCCGTGGAATTGTTGCATCCGAAAAAAGCGAGCGTTTGACGGTCAAGAATAATTTTTTTTATGCCGTTTGTTCACTGAGTGAAAAATTGTGATATTTGTTATGGTGTGACATTGAACTTTTTGCCTGTTTATGGTGGTTGAGCCTTTGAGTTGTGAGGTTTGGAAGTCTGCCTCGTGAAAAACGAAGGCAGAGTAGACAAATATTTTAATTGTTGATGAACTAAAGGGCTCATTCTCGATAGCCACAATCATCGTATATGTACTGGGGAACTGTTGCTCCAATTGTATGTGAGTTCATTTTAAATAAAACTCTAATGATGGCGCGTTTTTCGTTGGACGCCAAAGATTCCCAAGGTACATTATGTTGACGAACGAGGAATCATAGAAGAACCATATGACTCAGTGGAAGACATGCTGAAGAAGAAGGGCTTCGTTATCAAAGTGGAAAAACTGTTCAAGTGGAAGAATTTGCCTGTGGCTAAGGTCATTTTCTGCGATTGTCAGCGGTTTGCGGAATTGATTCGCAAGAATCCGGGAAATACTCTACTAGTGGAAGAATACCACCACCGAATTTTTCTTCATAAAGTCAACAGATTTGTAGCTGACCGAGAGGTAAGGGGTAATTGATGTTGACGGAACAATTTCTGCGAGATATTGCGTCGCTCCTGTCTTCTGCTGTTTCTTCCATTTCATTTATAAGGTGAAAAAGGAAGGATATGGCCAACGGTTGTTTCGAATTCAAATGGATGAGAACAATAATAATAGCATTAATAATGATAATAATGCTAACAATAATAACAACGATGCTACTAATGATAGCAATTGAAATGACAATGGTAATGATGATATTACAATGGTAACAGTTATGGTAACAATATAAAGATAATTATGATAATTATGATAATACTAAAGAATTGCAATTAAGCTAAAAAGTGTTTTTGCTTACTCATTGTTTAGTTGAAACAGCCATGAAATGGATTCTGTTATGCCCAATTTTTTCACAGGAGAAGGTCTTATTCCGTAAAATGATATACACAAATGCAGTCCGAGTTCCTCAAGATGATGGCTATGTTGTGTGGAAGAACTCTTACATTATCCCGTTGTTTCCACGAGAAAGCACCAAAAGTCTCGCTCGTAAGTTAACTAATGAGAGAAGGCGATTCTTTTTGTGATAGGTTGAGTTCGTTCTACCTCGCAAGAAGTAAGGCAGCAAACATCGTAGGCGTTCTCTGCATAACTTCTTCTTGGTAACCGACATTGCAGGGCACCCGATACGCTGCAGCTTTTTATTTCGGGTTTTTCAAAACTAAAAAAAGGATTTAATGGTGGGAACAAAATATGTTGAGGATGCAATTACTGAGTGACATAGCATTATAAAGATAGGAGGATTGAGCTAAACACATATGAGTGGATAGCAGCAGTACACGCTTGTCAAAAGTGACAAGGTAGCTGGGGATAAGTCGTCTTGAGCGCACCTACCCCAAAATTGATCGCCTAACATTAATTCATAGGTGATTACTTTTCTTCTTTAATAACACATCTATACCTTGATATATACCTTAATAACACATCTATACCTTGATCCACAGAAAAAGAATATTGTTAATTTTTTTTTCTGCTATAGCAGCCCTTGGGAAAAGAAAACATGGTATGAAAAGTCCTCTATTCAGCGCTCTTACTTCTGCAAAACCTGGCCATATGGATGCATCCTCTTTGTCACGAGGTAGATCTGCCCCCTCTCTCG